CAAGTCAGAAATAGTCCAATTAATTTTCCCTCTTTATTTCCTGTTGACATGCCTCAGACTAGATGGCCTAAAGCACTTTCACTGGTGCAATGGAATGAGGAAAATGCTGTTGTTTGCTCTCACTATCAGCTTAAACGAATATTTACAGTCGTCGTTCATTCACTACCTGTTGTTTATGAAATTGTTGAAATGGGTGACCTCTTCAGCGATTGACACGAGGTTTATGACGTACGATAAGATTTACATGGTTTGGATGAGGGTGAACTTTGTTCATTCTTACAGAACAGGCTAAAAAAAACAGCTGACATGCAAATATAGCTTAAAAATGGCAATGAATATTGAATAAAGAGGGTTTAATCTGTCTATCTGTCTCTGTCTGTTCATCCATTCGTCTGTCTATCATCCATCCGTTTATCTATTGATCCATCATGTCTATTTTTAAATACATATGATAACAGTAGTTTCCTGTGGTTTGCAGATGACACTCTGTATTTAAGTACACCTGCTGAGTAAAGGTTATTTTAGCCTGTAATTGTCCTGTGGTTCTGCTGAGCGACTTGAGGTTTTGAGGTGGTTCAGTTCAGTAATGCCAGATAAACCTTGTGAACCCGGTGTTTAGAGTTTGACCTGAGGACAACATTACGAATAGCTCATATCACCACACACACAGCATAATGCTGACTAGAATCCTCACAGCTTGCATAAAGTTTATGAAATCACAGAGATTGTCTTCATGCACTATGAACGCTCTATATGAGATATCTAGAAGAGAATGACCTCTGGAAGACAAATACGACATTTAGTATTTACAGATTTTATTTCTACAAAACACATCAGAAGTTCTTAAAGGGATAGTTCATCCAAAAATGAAAATTCTTAGGAAAGAGCAGAATTGAATCACGAACTCCTATCAACATATTATACATTAATATGTTTTAAGCCGATACCTTAAAAAATATATTATTTAAAAAACACAGTACAGAAATATCCTATATGCACTTACTATTAAAAATATAACATTTAAATTCAAAGACATCAGTAGCCTTACATCTCATCTAGAGTGAACTGAATTATTGATTCATGCTGATGAATGAGAAAGAATGTGCAATTTGTAGAAAACGTGCAAAAGATTTCTTTGCCTTAAGGTGCACAAAGTTGATTTTAAACGGCAGGCTTTTCCATTTAAGTGTAATTTAAAAACACTAAAAATATTCCACATGAAAACACATAGGGCTGCTCTGATTGCACATATATCTTATGTTCCAGCAGTTACACAGACAGATATATAGGAACAAGGCACAAATAAAAACAAATGCTCCCTATTCACAGCCCTATTTGGTCTTCATAAAAGGACAAGAGCAGCAAAATGCCCCAACCGCTCAAAAGTCCCAGATTCTGCAGGAAAAATATCAGCCAAGGTCTTTTAGTGTCCACATGAACCAGGGAAGGAAGCTAGATGACACAAACAGAGTTAAATGTAACTACAGTGTAAGTTTAGAGTCACAGCAAACACTGCTGCTGTTTTTGACTGATGAACACGCTGAGAAGTTTGAAAGAGAAAACTGTTCACAGCTTGATAATGCGGTTATGTGAGAAAGCATTTTCGACTGAATAGATCGTAACGTACCATGTCTGCAAGACCCACGTACAGAAAGAGGCCGGCGGTGACAGCCGAAATCCACTCCTTAGCAAGCGTTTCCGTGGAGACGGACAGTGCGATGTACAGACCGACGAAGGAGGTGAGAGAGCTGCCCACGTTCAGCAGCAGAGCCCGCTTGACCGACAAACCACAGTGCAACAGGATCGCAAAATCACCTGAGACCAGAGAAAATAAATTCAGATGAAGCACATAGGAAAGAAGAATCACTATTGAGATCTCTTTCATGTTATTAAAGAAATGGAGACTTTTGCTGAGGTTTTCAGCTGAACTCTTAAGACACTTTGAACAAAGAAAACCAAGCTTTTTTTT